GGGCGTCTGCACCCCCGGAGGAGGGCTCGTCACAGGTGGGGCCCCCGATCCCCCCGGGCTGCGCTGCAGCCCATCCCATGCCCAGCACCCGCTCCCCCCCGGGCACCCTGGGTGTCGGGGGCCCCATGGCTCAGGTGCTCCCCATCTCCCGCAGGCACCCTGGTCCTGCTCTCGCTGGCATACCTCACCTCGCTCTTCTACTACATCCCCAAAGCAGCGCTGGCCGCCGTCATCATCTCAGCTGTGGTCCCCTTGTTTGATGCTGGGATCTTCAGGACGCTCTGGCGGGTTAAGAGTGAGGGCATGAGCTGGGGGCAGTTGATTCCCAGACGCAACCTGGCTCTGCCTGCAGAGCAGGCACTGTCCCGGAGGGCCCTGTGGTACAAGGACAAGGTGCAGCTGAGCTTGGGTCATGTCTCTTGCAGGACTGGACCTGGTGCCCCTCTGCGTGACGTTCCTGCTCTGCTTCTGGGAGGTCCAGTACGGCATCGTGGCCGGCGTGCTGGTCTCAGGGATTCTCCTCCTCTACTCCATCGCCAGGCCCCCAATAAAGGTGGGCTTCACACCTCGCCTTGGATGTGGTGGGGCCAGCCGAGCTCGCCAGGGGGCTGGGAGAGGGCTCCCCGAGGACAGCAGGGTGTTGGGGTCCAGGATGATTTTGACCTGCTCCTGCCCTATCCCGTGACCCCAGCCTGCCATCGGCACAGCATAGGGATCCCTTTCAAGGCGCATGAGGAAAGGGTATCCCAGGAGCTGAGAGCAGGAGAGGGAGGCATCACTGTCCCTGTTCCTGCCGATGCCTGGGGTGTGTGCAGGAAGGGAGTTTCCCTGAGGGATGGGGGCTCCTTCGTGTCCCCCACCAGCAGGAAGGACAGTGCTTTGCTTTGTCACACGGGCAGTTGTCCCAGCCTGGGGAAGGTCACAGCCCTGAGACCCCCATGACTCATCCCCCTCCTCCCGGGTCTTGCGCAGGTGTCGGAGGGGGATGTGCTTCTCCTGCAGCCGGGGAGCAGCCTGCACTTCCCAGCCATCGAGTGCCTCCGGGACGCCGTTTGCAGCCACGCCCTGGCAGGTACGGTGCTCCCCGATCCGCTGGCTTGTCCTGGGGACTGGCTGTACCCCCGGTGCCCACCTGGATCACTGCTGAGGGGGGTGGCAAGTGCTGCCCAGGCCGCCAGCAGTGCCAGCACAGCTTCCCTGCAGCGGGGACCAGCCCCTGGCTGCTGCCGCTCTCCCGAGGCTGTCTCACCCCTTCCAGCCACAGCTCTGGCTCTAAGGGCTGCGTCCCCTGGGCTGGTCATTTCTGGACTCGTCAGGGACATGACCTGTATGCTCTTCTTCCAGCAGCATCTCCACCACGCTCCATCATCCTGGACTGTCGCCACATCAGCAGCATTGATTACACGGTGGTGGTGGGACTGGCAGAGCTGCTGCAGGAGCTGCGCAAGCATGGCCTCTCGCTGGCCTTCTGCAGCCTGCAGGTAAGTGGGACGCAGCCTTGGCCAGCCCCGTGCGGGGACCTGCTGCCTCCCCCCGTGCCAGGCGTCAGCTCTGCTCCCCAGGGGAGGCTCTGCGACGATGGGCTCAGCCCAGCTGCCTTCCCTGTGCGGCCTGCGCTGGCCACTGGCACCTGCTGCGAGGATGCTGCTGCCTCTCTTCTGGTAGCACCTTCATCTCAAAGAGGTGGAGGCAGCCTCTGAGGCCGGCTGCAGGATGCGAGGTGGCGGGGAAGGGCTGCATCCTCTGCCCTGGGCTGGCTGGGGGCTCACAGCCCCAGAGAGACAGGAAGCGGCCAGCAGCGGGCTCCCCCAGCCCAGGTTTCTCTGCCCTCAGGACCCTGTTCTCCAAGTCCTGCTGTCCGCAGACTTAGAAGGATTCCAGCATTTCCCCAGCTGGGAGGAGGCAGGTGAGGCTCTGGGCTGCCTTGGGTGCTCTCCCGGGGCTGGGGTCCCCCAAGCTGCTGCTGAGCAGGGCTCTGGAAGACGAGCCCAGTAGTCTGACCTTTGTCAGTCCCCAAAGCTGCAGTGCGGGGGGCTGCAGGGGCCTGGCTCCCGGGAAAGCAAGCAGGACCCCCTCCAGAGAGCGGGGTCACCCCAGCCTTGGGGATTCGTGGCAAGCCTTGGCTTAACTCTCTGTCCTGCTTCTCCCCCTTCCTGGCTCAGAGCGGTGTGGAGGAGCGGATCCGGGGGGCGGCAGGGCAGCCCCCTTCACCAGCACCAGCGAGAGCTCGCTGCTGCCCGCGGGGCTCATCCAGTGAGTCAAGGAGCCGCCTGGGACCTCCTCAGGGGCAGCGTCACCTTGCCGTCTCCTCGCCTCCAATTATGCCAGAGCTGTATGTCCTGTGCCGCGCAGAGCGGTGGCTGTGACATCCTGGTGACATCCGACCAACACCCTCCATGGGAGCCGCCTGCCCCTGTCCTGCCTCCTGGGAGGCTGGTGGGATGCCTGTCGGGGCTGGGACCACCCCGGTGTCCCACACAGGGGAGGACAGAGGAATGCCAGGGACAGATGGTCTGTGGAAGGGATTAGTGGGGCAAAACCATTCCCTATCACGGTCATCAGGAAAAAGCCATCCCTCCTCCAGGCCCTCCCCATCCTCAAAGCTGCTGTCTTTTTTAAATCAGCTGTTTTAATTTTGGAGACTTTTCTTATTGTCCTGGTTTCCACTGGAATAGAGTTAATTTTCTTCCTAGTAGCTGGTACAGTGCTGTGCTTTGGATTTAGGATGAGAATAATGTTGATAAAACACTGATGTTTTAGTTGTTGCTGAGCAGTGCTTACACTAAGTCAAGGACTTTTCAGCTTCTCATACTGCCCTGCCAGCGAGGAGGCTGGAGGCGCACAAGAAGCTGGGAGGGGGCACAGCCAGGACAGCTGACCCCAACAGACCAAAGGGATATTGCATACCATGGGACGTCATGCTGAACAAAAAACCGGGGAGAGTTGGCCGGGGGCGGCGTGGCCGCTGCTTGGGAACTGGCTGGGCATCGGTCAGCGGGTGGTGAGCAATTGCATTGTGCACCACTTGTTTTGTATATTCTTTTATCATCATCATTATTATTTTCCCTTCCTTTTCTGTCCTATTAAATTGCCTTTATCTCAACCCAAGGGTTTTACCTTTTTTCCGATTCTTTCCCCCATCCCACTGCAGGGGGGGAGTGAGCAAACGGCTGTGTGGTGTTTAGCTGCCTGCCGGGTTAAACCACGACACTTATTCTGGGACATACTGAACTCTGATGCAGAGCGTTCTCTTGTCGAAGTGAGTTTCAAAGACTCTGGCCCTGCCCTCCAAGCCCAAGGGCATGCTGCAGCTCTCAACCTCAGGCTGCTGGGAGATGAAAACCATCCGTGATTTTACTCCTTACTGATCCCTCTTGGTTTGTGGGGTGTTCTGCCAAACGCTGCCATCGGGCAGGGCTGGGCTGTCCCCCCCGGGCTCCTGCCAGGCACCCGAGGGGACAGGCACCGTGACACAAGCTTGTGCTTGCCTTGCTGTGAAATGGCTGCAAAAAGCAATAGTGCTGTCAGGCAGCGGGGCTGGGGGGGCAGGGTTCAGGAGAAAGCAGTTTTCCTGAACTGCCCTCGGCTGACAGCCCTGCCAGGAGGGTAAAATAAACCAGTAACTGCAAATGAGTCAGCATGATCTCTTCCTTCCTTTGGGGAAAGCTTTTGCCTTTTGTGTGGGAAGGAAAAATTAAGCTCTAATTTCTGGGCGCTGCTGAGCAAATCAAGAAAAGAAACTGAAACCATGCACAGGCTGCCTGCTTGCTCAGTGCCCGAAGGTGCGCCCTGGCACAGCTCCTCCTGCCAAAGGTTTCGCAGGTTTTGTGGGAGCGGCAGAGGTGCCCGGGAGCCACAAAACTGCGAGGGCCGACAGGTCCTGCCGCCAGAGGCTGGAGGAGCATTTCTGCAGCAGAGCAGCGCTGGCTGGCGAGTTCCTTGCTGCACCGGCAGCGGAGAAGCATTTGCAGAACTGGAAGGGTACCTGTGCCCTCTCTGCCCGCCCATCCATCCATCCATCCATCCATCCATCCATCCATCCGTCTCCCCAGACAAGGAGTGACCAGCACAGAGACGGAGCAGGCTCGACCCATTTCTCTTCACGTCGTGTGGCAGCTGGCTGCAGCCCTGAGCTGCGTCAGGTTGTGCTGTGAAAGCTGCTCCCAACGCCCAGAGAGAACCTCAGCGAGACAGCGGCAGGAGGGGGCTCAGGTAACCTGCCTGGGGACGCTGGGAGGAACAAGAGTGGGAAAAGAGAGGGGTAAGCGGTTAAAAAGGGCCAGCCGTGTGTAAATAGCGTGTGTGCTTGAACTTTCTATGTGTGTGTGCAAGTGAGCGTGCGAGCGCTAGTGAAGATCAGGCCAGCTTGGTCCCAGTTGGATCCGGGGAGGGGGTGACAGCCACGTCCCCGCTTTTGGCTCTTGGATCCAGCACGATCTATTTTCCTCCAACACGCTCGCCCTCCCAGCGCTGCTGGCAGGCCCCGTCCTGCATCCCTGTGCTGTCTGGGGAGCATGTGCATTTAACAGAAGGGTGAAACACCCCGCGGCCGCCCCCAGCGCTGACACAGCCCCGCTACAGTGGCCTGAGGAGCCTGTTTATGACTATTTGCTGCCTGTATTATTGCAGCAGGTCAGAGACCAGATGGGAAGAAGAAATGATTGATGGTGGCCTGAGGGATGTTTCCCTCCAGGCAGTGGTGGGGTGTTGGTATGTCTCCATCCCACCAGCCAAAAGTAGAAACAAGAGGGGCTTTGCTGGAGATCTGGGAGCTGCTAAATCTGTGCTCAGAAGGAAGAGAAGGGGTCTGAGCTCCAGGCCCGTCCCCACCGGCCCTGCCCCACCGGCCCGGAGCAGCTGGAGCCGGCAGTGGGG